CCGCCCACCAGCGGCTGCGGCAAACGCGGACCCGCCCTCCGGCCACGCCCCCCAGGGCCACCAATCCCCGGGCTGGGGCGGGGCGTGGTGCCTTAACCCCTTGGTTTCCGCACCCCGCTGGCTCGTGGGACCCCTCTGCTTCACCTGCTCAAGGGTACCGCAGTCCTGTCCCATTCCCTCTGTTGGTTGCCTGTTACCCTCAAACTCTTGGACTCAACACCCAGCCTCTCATCTCCGACAAATCTAGCAGGATTATACCCTCCCTGAATTCCACATTTTTGGCGAAGGGGAGGAGCCCCTTTGGTTTGGGAAAGGGGCTTGGAACGAGCCCGATTCCTTTCTTGCGCCTACCCTGCAGGACGCGGCCTCGCCGCGGACGCCCGGAGACCCTGCAAGGTGCGGGCGTTACGAGCCTTCCTGAGTGGATCCGACCAGGCGGAGGAACCTTAGGCGGGCGTGTGGGAGGCGTCGGAGGGCAGTAACTGTCAGCAAACCGAGTGGATTTGAAACTTGATGCCCGCGGAGGCTCACCGTCCAGGACGTGCGACGACGGAAAAGCTGTACTGTACATTCCTGCAACGTCTGAGCGCTTTTACCCTGCGCCCCAGGCCCGGGGTACTCACTCCGTCCTGGGCAACTAGGGCAAGGAGAAAAGGATCAGCTTTGAACTGGGTAGGGAAGAACGCCAGGTTGATGAGAGTTCAGTATGACCAAAAGCCTGGAGGCATGACAGTCCCCCCCCCTAAAGAAAAACCCTGCAGTACTTCTCCTCTGGCTGTGATTTAACCCATTATATCTCTATTATAGCTGATTTATTTGGTCTTCTGTCATCCTATAGTTTTTATGTTTTGCTGTTTTCTAGATTTTTCCACATTTACTATTACCTTCTAGTGATTTTCAAGGCAGAAAGCCAATTTCTAATTCTCCTGGTGATTGCCTTTAAATGTATCAAACAACAACAAAAAGTTTATATTCCACAAATTATTAAAGTCAATGACAAACCACTCATTTTCATATTCTTTGTATACTGAACAATTTAATGTTCCTTTCTGTCTCTTGGCCTGCCTCCCTCACAACTACTTAGATTTATCCATTTAATCCAGGATGATAGACCCAGCTTGTGTTTACACTTTTTTTTAAGCCACAAAATCCTCTTTTTCAATCATTGTTTTTGGCTTTTGCCAACCCTATCTTTAATTGGTCTCAATGTCACTGCCAGTTTTTAATGTTTTTTCTATTCTTCATTCGGACCCAATGCTTACGTGACCGGTGATTTCAGGGAGGACTCCTGAATGATGTATTTTCTAAGTTTTTGTCCTTGATGAGAATGTGCTTAGGGAAGCTTCACATTTATAGAATTCCTGAGTCTCAAATTTTCCCCTCAAGACTCTCTTGTCCTTATCTCGCTGTTTCCTGGCACTGAAAATGGCAGCAAAACTGGCTTGTCCGTTTAAAGTAAGCAATCTGCCCCATGCTTATAAGGGTTTTTTCTTTACCCTCAGAAGTCAAATATTTTGCCAGTAGAAGTCTCAATGAGGGCCTTCATCTATTCATTTTCCAGAAACAAACCAGTTCTTTTTTTCAACTTAGAAAAGTTTTCTTCTAATATGCGAACAGGTTACTTTGTATTTTTTAAAAGGAATTGCTTTATTTAACTTTATTTATTTATTTAAATTTGATCAGAGAGGGTCAGAGTGGAGTAAGCAAGCAAGAGAGAGAGAGAAAGAGAGGGAAAGTGAGAAAGCAAGCCTCCAGGTCCAGGACTCAAACCGCAGGTCTCCATGTGAGAGTCCAGCGCCTTAACCACCACACTACCTGCCAGCCCCTACTTTGCACTTTTTTCCCCTCCCCTAAAACTATCACAATGGATCACCACTGTCAAATCTCTGTTCTTTTTCTCTGTATCCTGGGAAAGTATTTCATGTTTTTCTTCACCATCGTGGATTTAATTTTCTCTAAAGTCAAGTATTATTTCTTTTCTCCAATAAAGCATTTGATACTGCTTGTTTTATTTCGGCCAATTTCCATTCCACCTCTGTCTTTTTTTTATATAATTATTTATTTTATTTTTTATTTATTCATTCATTGATTTTTTTTTTAATTTGACCAGAGAGAGACAGAGGGTGAGAGTGAGAGAGAGAGAGGAAGTGAGAAAGCAAGCCACCAGGTCCAGGACTCAAACTCCAGTCAGCAATGTGGGAGTGTCCAGCACCTTAACCACCATGCCACCTGCTGGTCCCCCACCTCTGTCTTAATCACAACTTAATCTCTCTATATAGTTCTTTTCTCTCCCTCTTTCTAGTTCTTCATTCCTATTTCATAAAGAGTGTGGTTTTGGGAGCCA